ATGAAAATAGGAATCTGTAAGCTAAAGAATTTTACATTTTATATTTGAATGAATGGGAAAAACCATAGATGAGAAATTTAAACATTCTGCTAGAGAGAAATTCCCTGAAGATGGCTCTAGCACAAGTCTGAAAAGCTTGGAACACAAAACTTCTGGTCCCAGTGATCGACCCAGACTGGATACTAGAAATTTAAACATGTACAGAGGCTTGTAGAAAAAAGTGGTTATTATATGATCTGTTGCAAGGAGTAAACTGATTGAAAGAGACCAGTCTTGCTTAGTATTATGTTTCTGCTCACTTTGTTCTTTGGAAACAACACTTAGTTACGTCAGGAGAAATGTAAAAGTAAGTTAAATGCTGTGGGTATTTTTATTTTTTTATAAGTAACTTAAGGCAATGAACATACCCAATTCTCCTTCCTCTTCCTACTTTCCGCACAAGAACAACCCTGGTTGGTTGGATAACTCCACTGGTTCTGCGATTACGGCTGGATTAGAACTCACAGTTGCCTGATTTCTAGCCTTGTGCCTTCTGCAATAGACCAAATTGGTCTATTGCAGGAGTGTCCAAAGTTTTTTTTATTTTTATTTTTTATTTATTTATTTATTTTGTCAAGCAATTATAAGATAATGCCCATCCCCAGTTTAGCGAAGGGGGGAAAAGTCACGATAGGTCACATGATGATGATGTGACAATGCAAGATTGACGCTCCTCATCTATTGGATATATAAGAAGCCTGTGGGTTAGAACAAGGAGATAGAATCAATAGTTGAACGGGTGATGGATGAAAATGGACTGAGTACGAAAGAAGAGTTCAGTATGAAAGAAGTAAAAAAGATGATTTATTCTGATAATAATGAGGGTTGAATGGAAAAGCAACATGAAGGAAGAGAGAACAAGCTGTAAGTAAAGGAAAGATTCTTCCTGCATGGAGTTACATTAGGGAAATAGAGGGATGTGACAAATGTAAAGGACAAAAGGGAATACATGACTCTATATAGGAATGTGGTAGAAACAAAGATAAGGATAGAAAACTAAGCAAAGGCTGAGTGAATGGTATTAGCATAATTTAAGCTCTCAGAATAACAGTAACCAAAGTTGGAAGTCCAACCATCTGCTCAGGCAGGAAACTCTGTACCATTTCAGCAGGGGTGGGATTCAAATTTTTTAACAACCAGTTCTGCGGGTATGGCTTAGGTGGTGGGCGTGGCTGGGTGGTCATGTGACTGGGTGGACGTGGCTTGATTGTCATGTTATTGGCTGGGTGTGGCCAACTCAATATCACTCACATCGAGGCACATATCTCCTCGCCTGGCCTCTCATGACTGTGGGGATACTGCAACAGTCGTAAGTGTGAAAAATGGCCATAAGTCACTTTTTTCAGTGCCATTGTAACTTTGAATGGACACTCCACACAAGCAAAGTACCAGCAAAGGAGGGGAAAAAAACTCCAGAGATGATCCTGAGACAGGAAGTCTAGTCCTGCCAAGAATGTAATAAGAGTTAACGGAGAGTTTCTGTAAGCAACACCAGAATGTTTCCTTCCTGCCTTCCTTACAGGATTAGGCCAGTAATGTCTTCTAACAACCGGTTCTCCAAACTGCTTAGAATGTTAACAACCGGTTCTAGCAAATAGGTGCGAACCTGTAGAATCCCACCCCTGCATTTCAGACAAATGTTGTCCAATCTTTTTTTTTTTTAAAACCTTCAGTGTTGGAGCACCCAGAACTTCTAGAGGAAAGTTGCTCCACTGATTAATTGTTCTCACTGCCATAAAATTTCTCATTACTTCTAGATTGGTTCTTTCCTTGATTAGTTTCTATCCACTTCTTGTTCTGCCTTCAGGTGCTTTGGATAATAGATGGACCTCCTCTTCTTTGTGGCAGCTCGAGATATGGGAACACTGCCATCATATCACCCCTAGTCCTTCTTTTCACTAAACTAGACATACTCAATTTCTGCAGCTGTTGTTTCAGCCTCCAGTCCTCTAATCATCTTTGTTGCTCTTCTCTGCACTTATTCTAGAATCTCAACATCTTTTTTTATATTTGGTGACCAAATCTGGATGCAATATGACAAGTGTGGTCTTACCAAGGCATTATAAAGTGATATATGTCTCCTTTTAATTCTTTGCCTTAATGTTTCTTACTCCTTTTCTACACTCTGCAGAGGGTTCTTGAACTCATAAAGGAATTGTGTGATGGGTATAGACACAAGAAAGCCTCAAAACAAATTGTTTGAGAGTTCTCCCTTTGTCAAAACAGAAGTATAAAGCATAATGTTATATGTTATTATTACATGCAAGATGAGTTTGTGGGCTCAATTTTTTTTCCTATTTTGAACATCAACGTTAAAAAGGATTGTTACTATGGAAAGGAGTTCTTCCTTTATTATGAAAAACATTGCAGATATCTGGAAGAGTTTCCTTTTCCATCTCCATCCTCAGAAACCAAACTCTACAATACATGAGAGACCACATACTATTCCAGCAGGATCTGATCATTCCCAACACCTTGACTGTTTATTCATTTTTTTCATATCATGTGCAGGAAACGAAGTGGATGAAATGAATGAAAACAGTGAATGAATGAATGAGGAGGAGCCAGATGAACTGCAGGTGTTTTAAAACATTTATTTGGGGAGAAAGGTTCCGCCAAGAAAACGTATAAACAAGATTCTGCCTAGCAAATTCCCTGGAGAGTACCCAGCATTTGCTTGCATGGAAACCATACTCAGCAGCTACAGAGGCCTCCAGAAAGGGGGAAGAAAACAACCCCCTTCTTACTCTGTTCCTAGAGCCAATATGATAGCTCTGATGTGGCCAGTAGTTGTAATCCCCACCCACTAAGGCCATAATTGGAGCTGCAATCCAAGCATATTGAAGGAACCAGGTTAGAGAAGGTTTGTTTCTTCCCCTACAGACACACCTCCTCGTGTCAACATCTTGGCAGGACTGGTTCTAGCTCCTTCTGTGCATCTCCTAGCATCCTCAGCGCTCATATTCCTTTCTAGCTTTCAGAAGGATGTGGGCTGCAGCTCCGATGGAGGACATGCGCAACATTTGGCTTCAGCTTGAAGCAAAGCACTCTCTCCCTCTCTCTCTCTCTCACACACACACTTACTTGACTTGCAGAAACGCGGAGGGAGGAAGGGAGGGGAGGTCGGGGATACACTCTTAGCAACTGAGAACCGACTTGCTCTTGGTTCCCCCGCGACGCAGGGCGGATCTAACAAGGGCCGCCTCCTCCGAGGCCTTCTCATTGGTTGCTCAGAGATTCCCGTGCCTCCCGGTCGGTCCGTTAAATGGGGCATCGTTAGAAAGGAAAGCCCGATTTCGGAAAGCGCCGAGGGGCGGAAGCGGTGGTTGGGAGCGCTTGCCGGCAAGCTGGCCTGCGGAACAGGTTCAACGGGCCACAGGGAGGCGCGCTATTTACGCGAGTGGATTGTTCCTTCCCCAGAACCTCGCCGACGGTGGCCCGCTCCTGCCTGGGACGCCAGGACAGCGGACGCCGCGCGGAGCTGCGCGGGGAAGAGGCGCCCCGCAGGATTTGAAAGGCCAGAGCTTAGACGCAGAGGCGCTGGGGAGGCGGGAGCCTGGCCTCGAAAGGTGGAGAAGGAAGATTCCATGATTGGCAAGGACGGCAGAGTTCAGCTGCTGCTGTTTTGCCAGCCTCCGGCCTCCAGACTCCACCGCCGGCTCTGAATATGGCTGGCTCGTCTCCTCCGCGTAAGTAACTGTCGGCGAGGTCGAGCTAGCTCCTCTCCTCCCGCCCTTTGGCCGGGCCGCAGGTGAGCCGCCTCCATTGTGCACCTGACCCCGCTGTGCTGGGTCGAACCGCCCGCAGGTGCCTTCCGGCCAACAACTCCCGTCAGCTGCTGTGGATCGCTCCGGGCGCGCCTCTCGGCCGACGCCCGCTCCTTTCTCTCAAGCTGCGGGGACGCGGCAGCGCAGCCTCTCGCCGCGGTTGCCGGCCTCCCCGCTTGCGTGGCTAGCGCTTATCTAAGGCAGAGATTTCGGAACGAGGAAAAAGCGCCCCTAGTCGGGCGGGGCAAAAAAGCCCACCACCACCACCCCTCAATTCTAAGAGGAGTTCTTAAGCCTTAATGCTGCACTTCGGGGCTTGTGTGAGCAAACGCCGAAGGTCCCTAATTCGGGCTTTATTAGCCATATCCGGCTTTCAATCACAATACGGCTTTCCGGCGAGGAACTGCAGTATGACTGAAGTGGGCAAAAGGGGCGGGGGAGGCGGCCGCCCAGGGTGGCTGAAAGCGGGCAGACGAGGACGGAGCGCGTGAGCGTCTGGGGGCTTTCAGGCGAGGGTGTGTTCTGAGGGAGGGAGCTCACCGGGGGAGGGAAAACGGGCTGGGGGGGGGGGGGGGTTCCCCGTGGAAAGGGGGGGGGGGGGGGGGGGGGGAAAGACTCTATCCTTGAGGAATAGCCGGAGAGGGGCGGGGACGCGTTGGAAAGACCCTCCAGAAAGCTGGGTTTCTATGGGGTGCGCCTCAGCAGCCGGTGCCTGGCATTTTGGGGAGGGGGGGCTCTGAACTACCCTTAGAAAGGCGTGGCGACCTGCCTTTCAGTCGGACAATTCATCCTGGGGTGGAACTGCAGTCGTTCGGTTTCCCTTGAAGGCGCTCTTTCCCCTCCTTCCCCCCCCCAGTTCCATAAGAGGCTTCCTCGCTCCCGGTCTTTCTAACACCCGCGGAGAACCAGGCGCCGAAGGGCTTGCATTTTAGCCCTCCGTTCCCCTCGGGGCCGGGCGGCTGGAGAGGAGAGGCGGTGAGGGCTTTAGGAGGCAGGCGGGGTCGGGCAAGGATTCCGAACCTCGGAGTGCTTTGGCGGGAGAGGATAGGAGGAACGGGCGGCAAAGCTCCCGGGGCAGGTGGCGGCCGCCGTCGCCGCCTTCTTGGCCAGGTGAGTTGGGCAGCAACGTCAGATCCAAGCGCCTTTGCTTTTTGTTTTGCCTCACAGCTGCTTCGGCTGAGTTTCCGCACGAGGATGCACCGTGATGACTGCCACAAAGCGGGGACAGTATCTCGGGCGGCGGGAGCGGCACCATCTTTTCCAGCAGCCGCCGAAAGCTCGGTTGTAATGGAAACTGGGGGCGATGCCAGCACAGCCCCTCCGCGGAGGGGAGGCGGCGACGGCGAGTTAGCAACTGCTGGTGTAGCAGAAGCCGCTGGTTTCCAAGCGGCCGCCGCTCGCCCACCGGCTCCTGCGGGGGGAGAGGATATGAATATGGATGATGAGCCAGGCAGCGCTAGTCGAAGAGGCGGCGGCGGCGGCGTGGATCCTGCTGCAGTGCCGAAAGGAGGCAGAACCATGGCCCCCGCCCCCTTTCCCCGTGTGCCTTACGCCAAAGATCCTAAAACAGCCCACCAGCGCTTTCTGCGGAGGAGTGTGGTGGATTCCGATCAGGAGGAGCCCCCCTTTGAGCACGCGGAGCCGGAGCAGCAGCAACAGCCCAAGAAGATCCTCATCCTCTCCAAAACCAGGCGGATAATCGCCGAGAGGGCGAAAGCGGGGCAGAGGCCCGTGGTGGTGGAAGAGACGCGGCCGGGAGAGGAGCCCGCCGGCCAGGTGAAGGGGGTGGCCGCCGAGAGGGTCTCGGCAGGTGACCAGGCGAAGGAGGGCGGCGGCAAGGAGGATGCCGGGAAAAAAGAAGTGTCCGAACCTTCCAAGGATCAGGGCAAGTCCAAGAAAGAGGAGGCCGAAGAAGAGGAGGAGGAGGCCGATATGAAAGCGGTGGCCACCTCCCCCGATGACCGGTTCCTAAAGTTTGATATTGAACTTGGCAGGGGATCTTTCAAAACGGTCTATAAGGGGCTGGACACAGAAACGTGGGTTGAGGTTGCTTGGTGCGAACTTCAGGTAAGCCGCGTCCAATGTCTTGTCTGGGCTGAAACGCAGTAGGTGCTGGGGGACAAAGTGCATATGTCATCGATGAAAGCTTTGCTGGAACAATCTCCACAGTTTATCCTCCCGGAGCTAACTATAGCTCAGTGTTTTCATTGGTTCCATCCTTCCTCTCCCCCCCCCCCCCCCCCCCCTGGTTATGCATATATACACACTCCCTCTAAGATTAACCCCTTACGTTCTGGGCTTTACTAAGGACAAACTACTTTCCAGGCTACCCTTGTTCTGTGTTTGAGGTCAGCAAATTTTAGGAAATCTGCCAAATCATGGGGCCTTTGAACAATCCTTGTTTTATGCTGCTATTCAGTCCTGTTCTGAACTTGAACTCTGCAAAATTTAGCAGGGCAACACAGAAAAGTAATTATTTCAGAAAAGTAACTGCATTTTTCATGCTCAGGTGTCTGCAGTGTATACTACTACAACCCTTGGATCTGTTTATTTGTAACCTTCAATTTGGGGGAAATGGGAAGTTTGAGGGTAAACAATCCCAGATAACTCAAATTTGTTAACTTGCAGAATGCCAAGATCCATGACTCTTGGTGGGTTGAAATTTTGGAAAGTTGTGGCTGCTTCCAACACTACAGTGCCTTCCATCTATACTTCCCAGAAAGGTTGCATGACTCGAGGGAAAATTAGGGCAGCATACCCTCTTTTCTGCCTCCTCTGCACCCAGTTTGTTGGTGCCAAGACTCAAGTGGCAGGAAGAATGTACCAATTCCTGCTTTTAATACAGTGCAAATAAAGATACAGTGCAATATTTGCTAGCATCATGTCTGTAGCACAATAAAGGTAGCTGCTTTGGAATCAAGGTTGAAATTTGAAATCTCTTAATGGTGGTGGCAGTGAGGTAAGGCTGAGGGAGCATCTTTGGTGTTTGCTGCGGGCACCATCAGTCAATGGGCAAGTCCTCTTTTTCTTGTAGGGAGGGGCTACTTGGGGACATGTCAGGGTGGGAATTGGGGAGTAAGGTGCAGTTTTATTTCTGGTCCACAGTTCCCTTTATTCCCCTCACCCCAGAAAAATCACAAAGCAGTTCTGCAGATCAACTGAGAAAGAAGGAGTTATTTCTTATGTTCCCTGCCAGCTTTCCACAAGTAATATAAATTTGGAAGCCAGCAGGAAATCAGAAATCTGTTAATACTACGCTTTTGCCCACCCATGGCCATTCCATTTCTCCCTCTCTCCCAGCAAAGTGGCAGGCAGTTCTGCAGGTCAGCCAAGGAAGAAGAATGATTTGCAATGGTCCCTAACAACTTCCCACAAGCAAAGTCAATGGGGAAGCCAGTAGGAAATCAGAAGTTGTTCCTGCTCCCTCTGCTTGTTTGCTTCCCATGGTCATTCTGGTGCTCCATTTAGTTGAGGAAATATTTCTGAAAGGATGACCCCAACAGATCATGGATTATGATATTTTCAAACTGATAAATCCTATTCTTTATAAAGTAGCAGGCTGTTTTATTTTAATTGTAGAATGTGCTGCATATAGGATGACAAGCTTGTACATGCTTATTCAGAAGTTCTAGGGAGGTGAGTAAGTTTGCATACTTGAGTGAGAATAATGGAGTAATAATGGGAAAAACCAATCATTGGTTTGTTTAGACTTGAATTAATTCAACTTTAAAATAGCCCAAATGAAGAAAATTGAATGTTGATGTTTCTGGAACTGGTCGTGTATATAAAGGGACTGGTTTATCATTTCTGTTTTAGACACAATAGTGCCACTTTCTCTTGTTAAAAGCTTAGTTGGTAAAAGGAATGACTCGTCATTAAACTTCTACTGAAATGCTGGATGATGTTTTATTTACTGAAGTCACAAAGCTGTGGCCAATGCTTATGTTAAGTTATATGAAAACATGATTGGGTGATTACTTAAGCATTTTTCTTTTGTAACTCTGGTATGTTAATCTAGGCAATATTTTCTTTAGCACGATGAGAATTTACTATACTTTGGTGGCAATATGTGCGTATATATGATGAAGAAATCACTTGTCAGCTCTGTTTTGCTAACCCATCTACCTATAATTATGAACTGGTCCCAAGATTACCATGAAAACAGGCTGGATTAATCACATTTCCAAGAGACAGTAAAAACGTTCTTGGGGAATTGTCTCACAATTGCTGTTTCTTCCAACACAATGTGCATCCTTCCTGCCTGATAAATTCCTATCTAAGTAGTAATTGCAAATAAATTTCATGTCCTTATAATTATTATTCTTTTCCTGCCCCATTTACTTTTTGTAATTAGAACACTTGAAAAGACCAACTTCAAAACTATTTTGGCTGGCCATAAAGCTACGAAGTTCAGCCCTTGCCATGGGCTGATTAAGAGTGTCAATACAAACTTTTGTCTCTAAAGCATCTCCTTTGGAAATAAGATTAGGGCCATGCTGCAGATTATCCTTATAATTTTCTGGCCCTCTTTTAATAAAAAACATTGTTTAATAAGTATGAGGACTAACTTGGATAAATTGTGTTCCCTGTTGTACTTCATCATCTTCAACGTATCCACTCAAAAAGATTCAGATGCATTTTGTTTGAAGACAAGTGTTAGTGTTAGTGCTGGGTATCTCATAAACTGCCTTGTGAAGATGGAAGAAAAGGAAATATGTGGCTTTCCAATTTATTTGGGCTTGTTCTTACAGGATTTTGGTTTATATAATTTGTATAGTTTTTATTAATTATTAGCCGTCAAATTGTTTTTGACTTCTAGCAACCAAATAGATATCTGCATGGACAATCAATCTCTAATCTGTTCTTTCAGATCTCCCAGTCATACACTCATCCCTACTGTAACTGAGACTGCCCATCTTGCTGGTAGTTTTCCTCTTCTTTTTCCTTCCACCTTTCCCAGCATTAAAGACTTTTTCAGAGAGACAGAATTTTGCCTAATGTGACTGGATCTGTTCTTGTCTCAGGCAATATTTATCTTCTCAAAATACCTGAGATAAGGAGTTAAACACTACAAAGACTTCCATACAAAGTTTCTTTATTGGATTATATCAGGCATCCTCAAGGTATAACTCACAGTTACGTTGAGATTCATCTAATGTCCAATCTTTGCATTGTCCTCTTCATAATGTGAAATGATAGTTATCTTCATCCTATAATGATACAGCAAAGGAAGACTCCAGCACGATGCTGGGGTCCAGGTAGGAATGACCAAAACTCCCTCCAACTCAACCAGAGGTCAATTCAGTGACCAATTAGGAGTACAGGTGTGACCACATGACATGAACTACATCTCCCATGAGGCATTAACTACATTTCCCATGAGGCATTCCCTTAAGAGGACAGCTCTAATTCCCAAACTAACTATATACTGTTTAACCAGCACTGGATCTCTATGGTTAGAACCAGTGAAATATTGCATGTTTCTGTATATACACATAAATGAATGATATAGTTCAAAAACTTTAGTAATATTTCCATAGTCATAGGCTGAGTAACATTATTGCACTGAATAATTGAATGGGTTTGTCAATTTCTCTAGTAAGCTGAAAGAGGTTCCAGCCATGTAGAAATTATTGCAAAAGGAAGCATTCTTGTTTGAAAAAGAAGCAGCCAGTAGGTTTTTGGCAAGTGATACTTGACAGTATTGCTTGGCCTTGTTTATCAGTATTTGTGCTCAAAAACTGTGTCTACCCTTCCCTTAGCCCTGTGGCTACAGATAGGCAAACTTTGGAAGTACCTGGCAACAATGAAAGTCATTTGTATCCTTTAAAAGTTGGCTTTCCATTTTAACATGCCAGAGAATATTAAGGAGAGTCACAAGGCTTACCTTTCTACTGTCTTCATAAAATGTGAAACCCATTTTTCTCTCTGCTGTATGCAGACAACTCAAAAGGACTCTCCATGGTCTCATACATTAGAAGAGGCTTGCAAAACCTAAAGAAGAACCCCACTGATTAATTAAAAAATGATCACAGAGCCACAAAGAGATGCCTGGGATGATAGTCAGCTGTTCTGCAACTAGCAGAACAGTGGCTGTGCTGGAGGAGACTCAGCAGTGAGGCTAGGTGGTGTTGGGGGCATTCAGCAATATGCCTTTTGGGATGGCGGTGAATTGTCTTGATAAAACCCCGGAGGATCACACAAGTCTGCTCGGCAGACTGTTGTGCAGACCTGCATTAGAAGCAGGTGGCTGTCAGAAAGTGACTTATGACTAGATGCTGACCTCTTAGCAATTTCGTTGGTAAACTTTTGTGTGCCTTAGGAATACATGGAGCTAACAGTATGATACTTTCCTTTGTATATTATGCAGTATGTTCAATATATTTAATCTTTAGCTTTATTAGTAATTCTTCCAGTGATCAATCTGGCTTTACTTCTCCAAGAATTAAATGATAATGACTGTATGCTTATTACAATATAGTATCACTTTCTGAAAATAAGCTCCTGTGGTGTTTAGGAAGCTATACTGTATTACAGATGAAAACTTGATCAGAACAGTATATTTACCTTTAGGAAAAAGATATGCCCTTTCAAACTTTCCTGTTGCAGGAATGAAATCCTTTGGCGTCCTTAGGGTTCTGAATTTAGAAAGCAAAAATGTAGCACTGGATAATCACAGTGTTAATCTTCTTGTTAGTCCTTCAGCTCTGGAGTTAGCTTAATACCGTGGATGGAGAAAAATGTCCCCACCCCCCACCCCAAATTAGCACTACTATAATTCAGGCTGCAACAAATCCAGATAATCACAAGATGATGGTGAAGAGAGCTTTCTGTATCCTTTTGTTTTTAACAACCAATCATCTGGATTTTTGTAGCCCAAATATGGTGACCTGAGGAAAAGACTTCAACTCATGTTTCCCTTGAATAGTAACATAGATCTATAACTCTTGTAAACACTGCAGGGATACCAGAGAAATCCAAATAGTTATACTTAATGGCATCGCAAGGGGCTGATGTTGAGTAGCAGCAGATATTTAGGACAGGAGGCGGGCAGTCATTTGGCTGGA